ATGAAACAGATTGTAGCCGCTCGGTGTTGATATCAGTCTCCACATTTATATTTTTATATCTACATATGCTCTATCTTTCATATTGACCACGGCTTCTGACCATTCATATAGGATACCTTAAAACGATATTTTTATACACACACACATAGATAGATAGATAGATATGAAACATGAATCTGAATGAGTTTAACGGAGTCTTTTTTCTCCACTCCTTCTTCTCTCCTTTCCTCCGTCATTTTTATCTACTCTGACTTTACTTTTCTTCTCCTCCCATTACGTTTCCGTATTTATAAATAATATCTAGGAACACAATTGAACTTTTCACTGCCTAAAGTAACAATTTATTGGTGCAAACCGCGCCAGCAGAAAGGGTCGGTGTGTTTTTATTTTATATATATAAAGAAATGGACAAAGTCCTACAATTTATTCATTAAAGATATTTTTATGTTTAACGTTCTTTTTATAGATACAAGTATTTAAGTAAATGCTCTGTTTATAATAAACAGTATTAAATAACATTTACCGGCCTGAATGTCCGAGAAATTTTCATAGAAAATATTCGTCCTTTGACAGGATTCGAACCTGCATCCTATACTGAACCGTCATTTACGCTGACGTGCCTTAACCGACTCGGCCGTTCGGTAGGCAAGGTCTAATATACTGCTTATAAACTTCAATCTTCCATGAATCTCGTACATTCATAACTGCTCATGGCGTATCAAATGTAATCAAATGACGTCATATATTAAGAAATGGACAAAGTCCGACAATTTATTTATTAAAGACATTTTTATGTTTAACGTTCTTTTTATAGATACAAGTATTTAAGTAAATGCTCTGTTTATAATAAACAGTATTAAATAACATTTACCGGCCTGAATGTCCGAGAAATTTTCATAGAAAATATTCGTCCTTTGACAGGATATATATATATATATATATATATATTTCAATTTCTTTGTAGCTCTTAGTAAATTTTCACTTCTCGCTATCTCTCTTAATCTCTGTTCTACCTGCAATCTCTTTGGGCAAATTAGGGGCTGCTTTCCTCTGTACTACTTGTCGTCTTCCTATAGCCTGTGAGTGTCAAATTTTCTAAGCCCTTTTTCCTCATTATGTCTCCTAGAAATTTCTATTGTCTTTTTTTATGTTAAGTATAAGTATCCTATTTTGTTTCCATTTTCTCTAAAACTTCATCGTTGCTCGCATCTTCAGTCCATAGTAATCTCAGCATCTTTCTAGAGAAGACCATTTATGTCTCTTCTTCATCTGTGAGAAAATTATCCAGAATTATATAAGAAATCCATATTACATAATAATAAAGTACAAATTTCTCTGCTTCTAACGATATTTTCCTGTGTCTTATGTTACGAACTTGTAGCATATAGATGAACCACGGGTTCTAAAAAAAAGGAAAACGTGGTTTCTTTTCTCGGTCTTCACTCAGAAATGGAAGCGACACAAGGGAATCAACGAAGAACAGACACAAGACGATGGATTTCAAAATAAAACATTTATTTATAAATATATATAACGAAATAAGGAAAGAAAAAAAAAAGAACATTCATTTAACAAAGGGGGAGGACATCATTAAAGAATAGAAGGCGCGAGCGAATACATACATATATGAAAACAGATCAAGCCAAACGAATCAACTTATCTTGCAGTCGGGTTGATATCTTCACATAAAGTTTTGATTCGCCGAAGCGAGAGTTCTGATGATAAAACAGTATCTTGGCCGGCCGACAATGTTCCTGGGTTCTTCTTCTTTTCGCAAGTGTTCGAGGGTCCACAGCATTTCATACAGGCATTTGGTTGGGTCGGTCAGTTCCCTAGCAGTCCTTCCGTCACTAGTCGACAGACTTTGCTGTCTTCCTCATCTCAGTGGGCGGTCTGACGATTTTTGCCCAGCGACGTTCAACTGCCGCTGGTCAGAGGGAAACTGAAAAATCCTTTTTTGGTTTTCGCTGTCCCGAAAGACAGTCACGTGGGTTCCCTTCGTCCTTGACCGGGTACGCAGGAGGATAGGGCGCAAATCACGCAGTGCTTGTGTGATGGCCAAAAGTTCAACACATGCTCAGTACGTTCCGATCACGTGAATCGCAGCAGGGGACCCTGATGGTGCCTGGAATTCACTCATGCTCAAACGCGAAATCTTGGAACCAGGTCACTCTCGCGTCGGGTCACTTCAAAGTTCACGGGCCCTTGGCTCATGGGTGGAAGAGTAGAGAAAGAGAGAAAGAATTTGGGAAATGAAAAGAAGGATATGGCTGATCATAGAATATATTCGCTCGCGAGTCGGAAGCATTGGATTAAATTTCTGTTTTTATTTATTTATTTTTCTTTTATATCTAACTAGTTTTCTCTTTATTTAAGATTTTACTTTAGCCTAACGCCTATATGGTTAATGAAATCGTGACACTTAATACTTTGTTTTGATTTTGGAAGGCATTTTTGCTATCTCAATGCGTCTTCGGATATCGATGTCGCTATTCCCGTCCTTCGTTAAAACACTTCCTAGATATTTTAATTGTTGTACTTGTTTGATTTTCTTTTCTCTTCTTTTTATGTGCCGTGTCCTTTCAGGAGGTAGGCGATCATGCCTCCCCCCAAATTCCCCTTATCCCTTGTGGCTCTCAACAGGTTTCGCGTTTCTGCCAAATCCCAACGACCATGCTCCGCCATCCACCTGCCCAAGCCCTTACGATTTCCCCTATCTCTATTCGTCCCGGGAGTATCAGATTCTCCAGGCCCTCCTTTCTCATCACGTGTCCCAGAAATGTCATCTGCCTTTTCCTTATGTTAAGCATAAGCTTCCTTCTTGTTTGCATCCTCTCCAAGACCTCATCTTTGCTCACATGCCCGGTCCATGATATCCTCAGCATCCTTCAGTAGAACCGCATCTCCGTCGCCTCGAGCCTCTTCTTTATCCTTGAGGGTAACGTCCAACATTCGCTGCCGTATAGGAGGACAGATGTCACGTAGCAGCTCAGTACTCTTTTCTTTGTCTCCATAGAAATCCTCCTGTCTTGCAGTCCTCTGTCCAGCTTCTGGAATGTATCCTTGGCTATCCAAATCCGTCTTCGGATCTCAGTGTCGCACCTACCATCCTCTGGCAGAACACTTCCCAGATACTTAAACTTCCTGTTTGACATTAACATCTCTAATTTGGATGTTAGGCTCTTCTTTTTGCTAACAACCATAGATCTTGTTTTCTTACTTATTTTTAACCATTTCTTCTCGCTTTCCTTCACTGCCATCTGTAGGAATTCTTATAGTTTCTTTTCTGTGTCTGCTACCAACAGTGAGTCATCTCCACATGTTGTTAAGATTGTGGCCGCCAACAATGAATCCTGTTGGGATTTCTGATTCTCTTCCTTCTTGATGTTTATAAGTCCGGAGAGAAGACACATACTTGCCTTACGCCCATTTCTATTTTTACATATTTACTGAATTAATTTTCTTTCCGTATGCAGCGGCTTGATCTCTATCTATAAAAGGCAGGATGTGTGTGTGTGTGTGTGTGTGTGTGTGTGTGTGTGTGTGTGTGTGTGTGTGTGTGTGTGTAACGAATGCACGGCCACAATTTTCGATGAATTTGCACCAAAATTTACATGCACATGCTCCAAGTTAGTGAAAAGGCCAAGACGGACTTTGCATTTCTCAACTCCCATCGATAGTAGAAATAATCAAGTCAAGTGATAGCGATTGCTGTTTGAGTCGTACGATTTTTGAATCAAGCACGGACAACGCCGGGCCATGCTGCTAGTCTCAGTATAAGTTCAGGATTATTCTAAGATTACCGAACATGTCCAACGGTTCTGTGTGATGTAATTTTAATTCATTTGATTTTATCTTTGTGTTCGTATAATAAACAATATTTACAATTATTTGCTCACACTTAAAATGTTCGAGACGTGGAAGCGTTACCAAATAGAAATGAGCAACCGGTGATCCTAGTTCAATTTCAAAACGAATCCGTTATGTTCACTTTCGTACAAATGCCTGTGGGAAATATATGAATACATCTTTTCTCCTCAGCTCAGCTATGCACTAAATAGCAAGATTGACTAGTCTGAATTCATAAGCAGCCTAAAGATGAATGGGATCCATCAGGCTATCTTGCCCTAGATATACCATGTAATTTGTTGGGAGAATCGTATGTGCACTTGAACTTAACTTAATTTGGCTCAAGATTATAGTTCATGGTGTATGTGGATCTCACTAGACGAACTGTTAGTCTATGAGATGAGTTTGCATTAGACTCGCGCTACAGTTGCTACAAAGGAGATTACGGGAACATCTACAGAAAATGGTAAAGGAAAAGAAGAATGGAAATGTAAGAAAAAAGAATCTATGATTGTCAGCAAGATAAAAAGCCCAAATTCGAACTACGAATTGAAAACAAGGAAATCAAACAAATAAAACAATTTGAATATCGAGAGAAAATTTCATTAGAAACAAAGATTGCTAGACTCTGATGTGATATCGTTCCTTCTGTATGGCAGTGAATGCTAAACAATCTCCTAACAGATGAAAAGAAACTTGCAGCAACAAAAATGTGGTTCTACAGAAGGATGCTGAGAATACTATGGATCGAACATGTGAGTAACGTGGACGTTTTTAAAATAATAAAAACAAACATGGTGCTTATACTTAGAGTAAAAATGAAAAGTTGAAATTTTTTGGATAAATAACGAGGAAAGTGGACTTGGGGAATTTGACACTCACAGAGCATAATGAAGATTAAGAGGGATGCTACAAATAACGAGCTTCTTCAAATGTTTACAAAACAGGGAACTAGGAGGGATAGAAAAACACAAACTTTATTAAGAGCTACAAAAACAGCAAGTCATGGAGAGCCATGATCGACCACATCCTAAAGGGTCACGGCACATACAAGAAGTTCGTATCAACTAATTCAGCTTGACTGCCAAATGGACCCATTTCAAGTATTTTTCAATTTGATCAACTTCAAGTCTTAAAATTTTTTTTCAAATATGTCTTGCTCTCCGCCTTTCTCTCCATTTCCCAGGCTTTATCGTCCTCGATCTTCTTCTGCCTCATTTTACTCTCATTCTCGCTGTCTCTTTCTTGCCCCCCCCCCCATTTTCCTAGCTTTCTTTCCATCCCCTCTTCCTTCCTTCAACCTCTCACTCTCTCTCCCCTCCACTTTTTCGTGCTACCTTTCCATCACTTTTCTCTATTTTCTTTTTATTCCTGTTATTTATGTTCTATATTTCTCATGCTTCTCTCTTTCTCTCTTATTCTCTATTACTAATGTCCCTATCCCTCTTCTCCTTTTCTTTCAGTTTTCTCTACCATTTCCGTCTCTCTCTTTTTCCACTCACCTGCACTCTCTTTCTCACTCTTTCTCTCCTTTTCTGGCCCTTTCTCGCGGACGACCTATTACTTTCTCTTATCGCTCCTTTTCTTTCTACTATAAATACTCTCTCTCCATCTCTCTCTCTCTCTCTCTGTCAGTTTGCCTCTATTTATCTCCTGTTCCCCTATCTTAGTTTTATCTACCTTTGCCTTCTTATTCCTTTTCTCCTCTCCTACACACTTTCTCTCACCTCTTTCGTTCTCTCTCCTTTTCTCACCCCTATCTATATCACTTTTTTTTTTATTTCACTTTCCCTTCCCGAATCCTGTGCCAAGATGAGGCAATGCTCTGCCAAGCTATAACCTTTCCGATGGGCAAAGAATATATCCAAATAACTCTACAGGCAGCGATTACCCGGCCTTTTTACATTGGCAATCTTGTGCAAAAAGCTTTCCAGCGTTTTGGCATTTAAATTGTTCAGACACTGACCCCGTATAGACTCACGTGGAAATCTGATATAGTTACAGAGAGCGAAAAAGATTGACAGGGATTAACTAAAACTTTAATTCTTTCTTATTTAAAAACTAGTTCAGTACCTGTCGCTTCGCCGCCAGCAAGATGGGTAAATTGCAAATCTAAATCGTTTGTCCATTTAGAATACTACATTAATTAGAGAATATATTCGGCTTAAATACAGGAGTGATAAAAATGTATCCAGCGTGCCGCCCATATCAGCTTCTACTTTTTCCTGTTACCCAGGTGTTGTTGCCAAACCACCAAAATAGGAATTAACTCTCGTGACTAAGGTGTCTATTTAAATTCAAATTGAGTGTGTATGTAGGTTTGCATGTGCGCATGTAGATTTTAATTCAATGAAAAAAATATTTCTACAAAATTAAAAAAAAATAAAATAATGATTCTATTTATTACCAAATAATTTCCGAAAAGTTTAATAAAATCTTATAATCAACGTATTTTTACATTTTATTTGTTTTGTTTTTTTGCCTCTAACTTTATGATTTTATTGCTCAGCCCAGGGTATGGTTTGTAAAGACTGAGTGGAATAGAAATTTATTATTCCAATGTCTTATTTCAAACTCCGTCAAATTCTGCGTGTGTGTGTGTGTGTGTTTGTGTTTGTGTTTGTGTTGTGCTTAGGCTAGTGTGTACATTAAAGGCACACGTAAATCACTAACACACAACACAGACACACGCATATTCCTTATATATGCGCACGCAAATTCACACGCAAACAGAGTGTGATGAAGAGAGAATAAATATTTATAATACAGATTTCAAGCCATGGCGCTCTTGTTAAAAAGCAAGCCTCATACACAATTTCTCCAAGAGTCATAATTGCATATGAAGAGACCTTAATTGCATCTGAAGAGATCTTAAAATAAACTTGAAAGAAAATACCAATCCGTCTAAAAAAAATGGTTTAGCCAGCTATCCATTACATGTTGGAACTAGTTGGTAACCTTGACATATGTGGCAAGGATATTAGAATAATACAGAGTCTATAGAGGCATTAAACCGGACAGAAAAGGAATTCAATAAATATACAAAAACAGAAAGTGGTGTAAGAAAAGGATGTGTCTTCTCACAGGACTTATTCAACTTATACAGTGAAGCGATTCTGAGAGAATTACAAGTTCTACCAGGATACTTTATTGGTGAACACAATTTTAGCAAAATAAAGTATGCAGATAACACAGTGTTGGTAGCAGACACAGAAAGAAAACTGCAAGAACTTCTATAGAAAGTAGTGAAGAAAAGAGAGAACAAGGGATTAATAATTAATTGCAAGAAAACAGCTAGCATGGTTTCTAGCCAAATGAACATCCCAACATGCAAATTATAAATTGGGGGTATCAAAATCAATCAAATGCAACAATTTAAATATTTAGGAAGTGTTTTAACAGAGGATGAAAAGTGAATTTCGAAGGTGCATTGGGATAGCGGAAATTTGCATTCCAAAAGAATAATGGCTTCAAGCGAATGAACCGTATAGGTCTGAGAGAAGACCATCCTTCTTCAAATCTTGTGGACTGGCGCTACATAATCACAAACAAAGAACTGTACCAAATAACAGAAAACACACAACTTCAGAATTTCCAAAACTCAAATGGATGGCACATGTAACTCAAAAAGAAAATGGCATAATCAAGATGTTGACCTTCCCCATTATTTCAAATAAAAGGTTAGGAAGGAAACCCTCATCAGTACTGAAAAGCATAATAACAGCTACTTGAGAAAACTATTTTCTTGAAAAATTGTTTTAATAGAAAGATTTTATAAATTTCGACAGACATTTGAGTTAACTGTTCGTTCAATGAATGCCGAATGTTTCCTTATAATGAAACGACTAATATAAACATTGCTATTACCGCTCTCTTTATCAGCCAGAGATTTACACTGATTTACGTTCTAATTCCAATGTAATATAAACTTGTAACGGACAATAATGTAAAATCCATTGAAATCGAAGAAGAAAAAGAAAAGAAGGATTATAATTCTACAAAATTATTTTTACATCTTTAAAACTCTCATATAGGATTTAACTTGTTTATTCAAATAAGAGTCCCTTTTAACCAACCAGAATCTTTCTTTAATAGCCAATTTGTAGGGTGTGTCCCCCTTTTCGGTGAGAGAGAAACAATTAAATCTAGATTTTTACTTAAGCTGATCGTTATTTGTCGATTGTTTGATTCAGTATTAAAGGGTCTCTCTCCTCTGTTGGCATGGAAGAGTTTCTCTGCTGTATTCATTAATTCTCCGTTGTATCTTCTCTTTTTCTCATTATAATTGTTGCCTCTAGATTTTACACATCCTGGCAAAAACATTACCTCTGTCTTGTTAATTCTTTTATATTCTTGTCTATGTTTGCTTCATCTGAGTTCTGCACATATACAGTCTGTTAATTTTTCATTAAGGCGTTTTTTTGTTTTTTCTGCCTGCACTTATTTTCGTAATTTTTTCTAAGTAAAATCTTCAAGGAATGCGTGACGATATTGTTTATTCATTTCTTTTTTTAATTCCGTCAAATTAACGTCGTCCAAGACTGGTAGATGGTTTTTCGATGTCTTTCTACGAGTGTTCGATCTTCAAGCATGGACGTTTATATAACTTCATTTTATTCGGTTATCTTGTGTGCATATATACTAATTGCAGCTGGGTTGATATCATGTTTATACTTGTGGTGCATTTACGATCCGATTCTATACTTACTAGCAATGAGAAACCTTTCTATAACAACCCTTCGAGATACCTAATTCTTTTGATATTCTGACGTTACACCAAAGATAAGTTTTACCTTATTATCTCTTAGGGTGATGTCAGTATATACTGAAGTCATTACAGGTCAACTTTTCTTTGATCAAATGATCCTGATTGACATTAAATTCGAATCAAATTTCAGTTATATCCTGATCGGAATCATATTTGATGCTTTATATTTATTTCTTAGAATCAAATATTGTGTTGTTTTTTTTTTGTTTTGTTTTGTTTTTTGTTGTTTTATTTTATCATTTCACCCCAACCAAGGCAATAAAGCCACGAAAATGCAAGGGGTTATTGAGAGTAAGAGACTATGAGAGAAATATACTATTAGAGGGCGAGAATCATAAAAAAAAACAAGAATTAAGAAGACAGAAGAAAACGATTGAACTTACAGTTAAATTTTTTAAAATCAAGGCTGACTGAGAAGCAAGAACCCAGAAAACAATTACCATGAAAGTATTTATAGAAAAGTCAGAGGGCATCTACGTTACATTGTTAGGAAAGTGAATCAAACCGAGACGCCAGGTCAGGACCAATATCATTGCAGATTCTTTTAACTTTATCAAGAATTTCTAAATATATAGCAGGCCCAGCAAACCAGATGTAGCAGAAATATTCAAAGCAAGGATGAATTTTATACTTATAAACGTGTAAGATAGATTCTGGCAATAAAAAATGGTCTACCTCGACAAAGTGAATTAACCTTTCTAGCTTCTTGAAATTAACTGCATTAATTTTGGCTTAATTTTCATAATTTTACTTTTCGCTTGCATAGGGCTCGAAAAGAAACGTTCTTTTGGTTTGCTTTAATGTGGTGTACTGCAATCCTGATTCGTTTTTAATTGGCTAAATAGTCTACCTACTTTTAATGTTATCTCCTGGATTTTTCTAAATCCGCGCTCATTTTCGATGTTATTCAAACTAAATATTAATTATTATTGGTATATCATCTTTTGTACTCATTGCTATTTCCTTCTCTTTTTCTCTGCCTTATTTTTCATATCGATGACTCCTGATAGTAATAATATCTTGTGACTTTTCTTTCAGTGCGGCATTTTCTAAGGTATTATAAAACTTTATTTCTAATTCGGTTCTTTCTGACACGTATTCATATACTACAATCATGGCCAATGGATTCTCTTTCAATTTCACAAAGAATATCTCTAACAGATAACAAAATACATTTCCTCTTGTCTTTATCTAATATTAGTCCAACTCCTCTTTCATTTCTCTCTCGTCGTGCGTGTATGATTCCTTGATCATTACTAGTAAAATGCCGTTGTTTTTCCATCTCTAGTTGTAGAATGTTGTTCTTCTTTCCATTTCCTGTTTTCCATTTTCTAAGTTTCTTCATTGGTACACTATCCTAACATTCCATGTCCTGATTATGAGTTTGTCTTTGTCGTGAACAGATGCTCGGTGTCGGCCTTGCCACATCTCTTGCACCTGTCTCTCAGTACCTAATGAGGAATCGGTTCAAGGCAAGCTTATCTGATATTTGTGAGTTAGGAATTTTCATTATTGTTCTTGGGAAGAATATTGGAACGCCTTACCTTTGACTTCTTCACGAGGATGTTTTTGAAACTCTAGCTGAATATCGAAGTTCATCCACCTTTTATCAACACTTTCTTCTTTCAGGTAGGCATATCATCGAAATGGGGTGGTAAAGCAGATTTCGTCGCCGTCAATTTGACCAAAATAAAATTCATATAGAGTATAGTTGGTCTTGATTTTGAAAACGGGGATTTGGAATACATTTTTTCACAACTTTTAAAGGACCTCCAACATCGTTTCAAACCAACTCCATCGAGAATTTAATTTGGGTGCAGTGTATAGTGTGCTTAACAAATCTCACCTTCTGGGTCAGCGATATAATTGTCTTGGCCAAGCTAGCAGTAAGGTCACAAGATTCTATGTTTACAGTTGGAATTTTTCTTTTCCTTAGGAAGATGGTCAATTTAACTGTTGAGGTCTGCCACTAAATTACTTATCTGATCAGATCGAGTTTCACCAGCTTCTCTTGTTCCCCTTGTGATTCGCCTTCA